GGCATGGTGGCTCACGCCTGTAATCCCAGCAGTTTGGGAGGCTGAGGAGGGCGGATGACTTGAGCCCAGGAATTCGAGACCAGCCTGGCCAACATGGCAAAACTCCGTCTCTATTAAAAATACGAAGATTAGCCAGGCTTGGTGTTACATACCTGTGATCCTAGCTACTCAGGAGGCTGAGGCAGGAGAATCGCTTGAATACAGGAAGCGGAGGTCACAGTGAGCCGAGATGGCACCGCTGCACTCCAGCCTGGGTGATAGAGAAAGACTGTCTAACAAAAAAAAAAAAAAAAAAAAAAAAAAGAAAGAAAGAAAGAAAAGAAAGAAAAGAAAAGTTTGAGGAACATTCCAAGCTCTTAATCCCTCAACAGGTGGAGTTGAGTCCACGGCAGTTCTGCCCTGTAGGTGGATGAAGTTCCTAAGCCTCATTCAGTGTGAGTTAATGCTCAAGCCATTGACAAGATGGGACAGACCTCATTCTTCCCTCAAGTTCTCCCTGAATCGTCCAGCTTCTCCTCATTTCCCTCCTTTGAGCTCCTGAAGCATTTGCTATTTTCGTCAAGTTTTTGGCACTGGACAGGGTCTCTTCAATTAGACTGTAAGCTTCCTGAGGGCACAGAGTGTGCTCAGAATTTCTTAAAATTTCCTGGAGGACCTTGTTTCATCAGTTTAGTCTAATTATGATGATCTGAGTGTTTCTAATAACAGAGGTTTCACTGTTATTATAACTCACTAATAGTTTTGTTTTTTTTTGAGACAGTCTCGCTCTGTCTCCCAGGCTGGAGTGCAGTGGTGTGACCACAGCTCACCGCAACTTCCGCCTTCTGGGTTCAAGTGATTCTCCTGCCTCAGCCTCCTGAGTAGCTGGGATTACAGGCTGTGCCACTATGCCCAGATCATTTTTTTCTTTTTAGGAGAGTTGGGGTTTTGCATTTTGGCCAGGCTGGTCTTAAACGCCTGACCTCAAGGGATCTGCCCCCCTCAGCCTCCCAAAGTGCTAGAATTACAGGCACGAGCCACTGCACCTGGCCTCTAATAGAGGTTTCTTAACTCACTTGGGTGAGATGCCCATGGACGCTCAGCCGTTGATCTGCACTTTGCCACTTCTGCTCACATTTCATGGCTAGAAGAGGTCACATGGTCGACAGGCACAAGGATATATAATCCTCCCATATAAGGCAGACTCACAGGGAGGGGCAGTAAATATTTTTGAACAATAGTACAACCTATCGAAGACCTAGAATATTATTTTCTACAAAACTGTTAGTAAATACTCAATGGGAACGATGAGACAGATATCCTAAGTGAGAAATATTTTTGGTATCATTGTTAGGGTTACACTAGCCAAGGAAATGTTGGGGTACTGATTCTCACGGCCAATTGATAAACTGAAACCGAATCAGCCCTCTGGCTGGAGTGTGGTTGAGGCAGATGAGACAGGCCCTAGGTCACCTAGGAAAATGCTGTCGTAGGGAGTTAGGACTCGGCTTACTCACTCTCCCTCTGGAAGGCAGGCTGGCATCCGAAGAGGAGCTAGGGTTCCAGGAGGGAAGACTTCAGCTTAGTAGAAGGAGACATTTCCCAGACCGAGAGACTCCCATCTGTGCAGTCCCTGCTCTGGGTGGCATGAAGGCAGGGGCTGCTGTCTTTGGGGATACCATGCAGGAGATTCCCACAGTGGAAAGAAAATTAATCTAGAGACCCAGGACTGACTCTTCTAGCTTTCAGAGTCCGTCGCAGACCTCAAAGGAATCTGCATGCCATTTGTGGAGCCAATACACAGCTCCAGAACACGCAGGAGTAAGGTGAGATAAAACGTGTCAAAGACTCCAAATAACATGCTGTGAGGGACCAGGGAAAGGAGAGAGGCCACACAGCTTCCTGGGACTTAACTGGGTCCCGAAGGCCTGGATTCATAGGGGTTAGAGGTCGGATCGGAGGGTGGGAATTCGAATGTGCAAGACAGAAGCCTGGGTTAGCACAGGGACACTCCAGGTGGTTTCTCCTCCCTTTTCTTCCCCCTCCCCCCAGTGTTCAGGGTCCCAGGAAGTGAATGAAATACAATCCGCACAGGACTCAAAGGAGCTGCCACCGCCACCGCCTTTCAGATGCTTTCTCCATTTCAGGTTTGCATCTTATTTTCCTGAGAACTTTTTTTTCCTTCCCTTTGCCACTCTGGCTTTTGTTGGTATAACCTCAATTTCTTGCTGCCTCTCAAAGCTTTTATTCCTCAAATTAAGGGAGGAACTTTTAATGACACGCTAGGTCTTTAGCCAGGCCAGTTGTCTTTTTCCAAATCAATCAGGGGCTCAGGGCAGCTAAGGATAGCAAGAGGCTTGGCAGAGAGAGGGAGAGAGTCAATAGCAAGGAGGAAACCAGCAACTGCAACTGATGAAGGTCCCCGAGGTGATTTGCAAATCTGCTGAAATCCTGAACAAGCTTTGATTTAACCCAAGCTTGAAATGGCTTTTATTTACTGTCTATTGTGGAATAAATGACATCTCATAAACAGGCTTTATCCATTACCCCAGAATGGAGAGCATGCTGTTAGGGACATTTTATCCTCTTGATATCAAAGGAGATATGCCGGGGTGTGTTATTACAAATAGAAAAATCAATGCTGAGACACACACATCTGAAATTTCATTTTCGTCCAACCACGTTTTCAAAGCTTAAAAAAAAAAAAAAAAAAAAGGCAATTGCTAATAAAAATGACTTCAGAACCGGAGGATTTACCAAGCCTGAGCAAAGAACCGGCTGGGACCAAGCCCAGACAGTGAATAAATCTGGCTCTACCCTGGGGCCATTTCCTGCTCTGCCTCCCAGACAGCGCAGCCCCGCCCAGGGCGAGCGTTCTCCCCTCCCACCCTCCCACCTCCTTGGTCTCCACTCCAGGCCATGCCCAAACACTGTTCATGCCCCCAGATGCTATCTCTCTAGCTGTACTCAGTCCTCCCATCCAAACCACACACCACATTTGGCAGCAGACCACATGGAAATTGCCAGAAATGTCCAGAGGCCATTGCTGTTTCTTCCAGGTCCCTCCCACCTGAAGGGCAGGGGCTCCTGAAACTTTCAGCTATGGGTGTGAAAGTGAAAAGCCCCTGTGGAGTAAGGGGGGAAGGTTGGCCATTCTCCAAGCAAAGGCTCAGTCCTGCCTCTCACTGACCTTTTGCCATTTCTGCCAAACACAACCCCTCTTTCAGAGATAAGTATGGGAGAGAAATACTTTTAGCTTTTCATAAAATTTTCTTAAAGCCATTATTCCAGGGTGCCATCACATGGTGTGACCTTGCGTTGGGGTGAATTTCTGGTTTAGGACCTTGTTTCTGCATGAGGCTGTAAGCTCAGGGAGGCCTGATGTTGTTCTCTTTATATTCCCAGTGCTGAGCACAGTGTGTGGCACAGTGTAACAGCTCAATAAATGCTAGTAGAATCCAAGAGATGTGCAGGCTGGTTTTGGGGACAAGAATGGCTGTCTAGATACCACAGAGGTGCTACAACCAATCTCCACTATCTGAAAAGAAATACTCCAGCTTTTATCAGCAGCTCTTGCCTTGAGGCCTGAACTCTACAGAGTCTGCTGGTTTCACACAGTCACATTTGCCACAGGAATGGTTTACTCTGTTAGTTGAGAAAAATGGATCCATAGAATTTGCTTGGTTTTAAGACCTCATATGAGAAATCCTGACCTGCCTCCCTCCCAGAAAAAAAAAAAAATGTATTGGTAAGACAGTGAATAGGAACAGAGAGCTGGGCACAAACCTATGCCCACTCCTAGAGAGAAAACTTGGCATTTCAGAACAGGCAGAGCATCAAGTTTCATTTACTCTAATGCAACCTCTTTAGAGGTGAGGAACCGAGGCCCAGGAAAGGGGGTTGATTAATCCAAAGTCACATAGAAAACTGTGGCCACGTGTGGAGCAGCGTTTGAAATCCCTGAACCCATTCCTGAGCTCTTTGCTGTACCTGAAAAGAATCCAAAGAGAGAGAACATAAGCATGAGGGAAGCAACTTCGAAGTCATTGCAAAGGCAACCACAGTGTTAGTCTCTTTTATTGTGCTGTTTTTTTTTTTTAAATAATCACGTAATAATAAATGTGCTGAAAAGCATCCACACTGTGCAAATACTATTTCTGCTGTTTTAAAGAGACAACCTCTCTTGTTTTCTCTACAGGTTTTACTCATTTGAAGGCCACTGATCAGAACTGGGACAAGCTGACTACTGACGCATTTTGGGAAGAAAATTCCCTGAGATGTGTGTCCCCTTCTCCCACAGAGACACGGCTGCCTGTTTCTTCCTTGAGTGTTTCATAAAGGTTTGAGAGAATAGCCTGAACCAGCCAATACTACCGCGATTCTGCCCAAGATAGGTGGCAGTATTTAAATAAGGTTTCAATAGGAAGGAACGGTCTCTTTGGACTCGGTCTGTGATGTAGTTATCAGGAGGAGAAATTTGTAGAACCCATTACCTGCCACTCCTTCCCCCAGGAAATTCCTTGTTTGCAGAGCATGAATCTCTGTGGCTTTGGCTGGCTTTTACTCTCCAGATTGTCCTGGGTAAACATCTGTCTCATACTGTGTGTTTATAAGAAGAGGCATTTGTGCCTTTGATTGTTTCAAGGTTTCCGCAGCGCTCCTGCGCTCTTTCCTCCTCCTGCCTTCCCCTCCCCGGCCCACTCACTCCTCTTGAGCACACAATCCTCCATGTCAATTTTGGCCCTTTTGGTTTCATAGTGCTTTGCTTTGTCCAGAACAAGGAAAATACGTGCCACAACTCACCTGCTCTACCTTGGGATAGAGAGTTTCTCATAACAAGGGCAGTATATCTTAATTAGATGATGATGATTATTTATTCCACAAATTTTTTTCAAACATCTCCTCTAAGCAGAGCATTGGGGTAGATGTGATAACACTGAACAGAGACCCAATTCCTGTCTCAAGGAGCTCACGATCTTGTTGAAGAGTCAGCTTGCAAACATTTAGCATGAAGGCTTTACCTGCATAAGAACCGTAGGGCTTTGGCGGGGCACGGAATTTGTCACAGTCCTTACTGTTAGCAAAACTGAGCCTCTCATCTTCAGTCCTGAGGCAGGCAGTTCAAACCCATCCATGGGCCAGGCCTCTTCATTGTCTGCTCCTGGAAAAGAATATGGCAAACAGTTTCCTTTTATTCTCACACATCTCTTTGCAGGGTTTCTTTGCATGGCTGAGAGAGGCCACTGGTGATTATCATTCCAGTAGAAACTCTATGAACTAGAACTCAGCAATATTTCTGGTGGTTAGGAAAAAAAAAGTATATATAGATTTGTATCACTTCAATTTAGATCAGAAACAAATTACAAGAAAATAATGTCATCAAACAGTTAAGAATTTTTTTTAAAAAAAGAAGACGTAAACAAAGCTTGGCTCCAATGTATTCGAAACTCGTTCACCTCCAGTTATAGGTTAGACAGTGAACACTGCTTTCTTCAGAGAAATGACTAGAAGGTCCATCGATAGCCAAGAAAGATATGCAATGTCAAGCAGTAGGAACTTCCTGCCAAGGGAAGTGGACCCAGATATTTGAAAAACGTGTCTGAACAACCTGAAAGGGTTTTCTGCTTTACCTTCTACTCCTAGGAAGCTCAGTAGGAACATCCTGGAAAGTCTAGTGTGAAGCGTGTCATGATTCAGATGATTCACATGGGTGGCAACTGAGCTCACCTTGAAATCAGTGCTTGATAGGAGAGCCAGGTGCAGTCCAGGCTCTGACATACTTGGCTGGTGACTTCATATCACTCACTCAGCCTCTCTGACCTCCATTGTAACTGATTTCTGATGGCCTTTCCACAAGTAAGGTCAATGATTCCATAAAGTAATTGGGCTATGCTAGATTGCAGCTACTTTTTATATCTGCTGATTTTTTTTCTTGGAGGTATGTGCTCATGAGAATCTCTGCTGTACCCTCTGGAGCCTGGTGCCAAGTGAGTGGCTGACCTTATATTTGTTATTTCAGGATAGACTAATACCTTGCTGCAGAAATGCAACTGAGCACCTGGGAGTGGAGTGAGCTGGCTGGCAATTAAAAGACAGCTCCAGCTTTATCTGTAATGCCCTTGTTACTTTATTCAATGAGAAACAAACAGGACAACTTGTTAACAGTGATCAATGCTATATGATTGTACGTAGGTGTTTGTTATGGATTCTTGTTACTTTCTGAATTGCTATAATTTACCGAATTATAAATTATAATTCAATAAGGGCAGGGCAAATTCAGATGGCAATTGCCTCTGATCAGGGATGGAGAGAGGTGTGTCAGAGAGGGGAACACAATCCTTCAAATGTGTTGGGTTTTCTGTTGCTTAAACTGGATGGTGCAAGGTGATCATTTCACTATATTTTAAATTTCACTATATGTTATATATACTTTTTGTATTTAATTATAAAAACCAGGATAGAATGATAAGGTAGAAACATTGATCTTAGTTTGGTGTCTCCCCTTGAATAATGAAAGGGCTCATATGGTGTTCAATAGAAATATGATTTGAGCTGTGTATAACCTTAAATTTTCTTCGTAGTTCCATTTTAAAAAGCAAAATAAAACAGATGAGATTTATATTAATACCGTATTTTATTTAACCCAATATATCCAACTTACTGTCATTTCAACATGTAATCAACATTTTAAAATTATTATTTTACTGTTTTCTGCACGACGTCTTGGAAACTCCATATGTATTTTACCTTTGCTGCACATCTCAATTCTGACTAGCCAGTGAACTTGGGCAGGCAGACCCCTGGGCTCCAGACTCCCTTTCCTGGCAGTCCCCATGGGCTGAGAACACTGGGCTCTCTCACCATACCAGTAATGAAAGAGAGCCCTGAAAAACCTCCCATTATCCCCATCTGGGTCCTCTTTTCTGCTTTGAGATAGGGATCCTCATTCACAGGGAGGAGCCACTCACCCCAACACCAAAAGGCCAAGGAAAAAGGATGTAGGGCTGCCATTGTTTCCAAATTCCAGGCAGCACAGTGCTTTCTGCAGGCAGAGAAACAGCCTTTGCTCCTGGAATTCTTTTTCCTCTCCACAAGGAAGACCCCAAAGACCAGTTTGCTTTGAGAGGGATGAGGTGTTGACAGTCTGGGAGAAAATGACAAGCAATAAGAAACAGTGTTTGTGGCAGAAAAAGCCAGCTCCATAAACCCCCTTGCTGGCTCTTTGGCTCAGAAGTGGCCTCATAAAACACTGGTGGATGGTGATTGATGGCCAGAGACCTCCTGGCCAACCAAGTCCCTGGGCAACAGTGGGCCCTGGGCAGGGGGCAGAAGGTGGGGCTCAAATCCCACCCAGGAAGGGGTCTGCTCCCTTGTCACACTGACAAATCCATATCCCTGGCAGTGAAATCAAGTCCAGGAGAGGCTGGGTTATTCTGGGCAGGGTCAGAACAATATTCTTAATCAGATTTGAAATTCATCACTCCTAAAGGAGGACTGGGACTCTTTGGACCCTGGGGAGGCACATATCTGGGCTCAGGGGCAGGATCTGAGCACCCCGTCCCCCTGCTCCAGAGCCCGAGCCCACTCCACCCTAGCTGTTTACAAGAGGTGACGTTTGCACAGGAGACTTGTGCCTTAAACCAAAAGCACAGTGAAACCAGATGACAAAAGGGCTATTCAGGATTTCTAAGGATCGACACTGTTCCTTTCTCCATATATATGTATGAAAGGGGACATGTGGGATATACATAGCATATATATGAATAGGATATATCTATCCTATTAGAAAGAAAGGTCAGGCTACATTTGCAACAAGCAAAGTTTCCCAGTCCACACAAGCATGAAGTCCCGCTTGGAGGCTGGTGGAAAAGATGCAATTTACCTTTGGGTACTGAGGCTGGGATTCCCATTTAAAAGTCTAAGCCGGCTGATTATTTATTGATGTCTTTCTCTCCATAGCTGTCTGACTCTTACTGGTTGGAAGAAGCTCCTGTGTGCCTAAAGCATTTTTTGAATTAAGTTCTTTTCCGTCATTTCCCCTCAGGTGTTAACCAATGAGACTGTACTTTGACAAAAGTCTACTTCCTCCCATCTCACTGCCCTCCTTATTTTATGTCGTGAAATAAAATTAAGTGTCAGGAGGGAGGCCATCAAACAGCTGGGACCAATGTGGTTATTTGGCATGTATTTTTTATTTACAGAAAGAGTGAGAATAATTCATTGGAACCATTCATATTTTACAGTGAATCTGCCTCCAAATCCTACTGGGACACAAACCCAGGCAATTTAATGAATAAACAGGGCTCATTCTTGATGATTCTGTCCAGTGCTCTTGCCACTAGCCTAGAAGTGGTTCTTGAAGCTGCACATTTTCTTCAATTCCCTGAAGTCAGGATGGATGGCCTGACCTCCCCACCTCAGTAGGCTCAGTGGGCTCATCTGTGAAAGGGAATGATAGTCCCTTACCACCAGAGCAGGGAACCGAGGTCTCTTCCGGTGGTAACAGCCATGGTTCCATGAGCCGAAATCTTCTTTTCAAAGGTTTTCCCTTCTGGGAAGGGGTTGCCCAGATCCTGCCCCTGAGCCCAGATATGTGCCTCCCCAGGGTCCAAAGGGTCCCAGTCCTCCTCTAGGAGTGATGTATTTCAGATCTGATATTTTTCAGAGGTTATTCTATAAGTAACCTCAGCCAGAGCAGCCCAGTTGAGCATTTTGGCATGAACCCCACCCTTCACATCTACCCTCCCTTTTACCCCATCCCACCTAGGGAGAAACAGCTGCCAAATGCATCTTCTGGAAGCGGGAGACTGATGAATGGGGAGGGCTTGGAAAGGCTGGCCAAGCAGAACTAGAAGCCAGCGAGGACCTTTCTTGAGGGTCTTGGCACCCCCTGAACTGAAGGTTGGCATGGACCCTAGCTGGCACAGCACTGAGAGCAACCCCACAGAGTACACCCCAGCCAGGGGGCCTGCTCTTGCCAGGCCACCCCTGGCAAGTTTGTGCAAGACTTATGACCGAGGATGGATTTAGGGTGACAGTGGAGAGATGTACATTGCTGATAAGCGTGAATTGATGGCATATTCTCACCCAGCTAGTCCTGTCCTGGACCGTTTGGTAGGTCTTGGAGTCTGGCAAAATGGGTTCAAACCCCAGCCCCTTGGGATGCTATTTAACCCCTCTGAGCCTTAGTTTCCTCATCTGAAAAATGGGATAATATTACTTACTCAAGCAGCTGTGAAGATTAAAAAGATGACATACATGGAAAGCCAATGTCTGGTACATAATAGGAGCCAGTATGACCTTTTTAGTTTAATGAAACAGGTCCCGCTCTAAAAAAAGCTGTTGGAGCCAAATCACATTCTCAGAAAAATTAACAACAGAAGCATGTAATTTAAAGTCACCCAAGGAAGCGTTTCGTGTAGGTTTCTGGAATTGAGTCATACTGAGCCATTCCTGTCTTAGCGCGGCCACCCTCCAGATTCCCTGGGCCCTTTCCTAATTTTAGGACATGGTCAGTCTAGCCCAACCCTCTGCAGGATGCTTTGCCCTCTGCCATCAGTCTGGCACACTGCCATACCCCAGGCCCCCTTCTCCCTGGCTTCCTCCACTTCCCCTGCCTCTTTCCTGCCCAGCTCCCACCATCCAGGTGGGCCCCTCTGGATCAGTAGGGTACATGCTAGGGCCCATCTCTCCGGCAGTGAGAAGGGTTGATCCTACATCACCCATTCTCTGGTAGGACTCTCCCCAGACAAGCAGAGATAGGCCTCTGGGGCAGATTTCTATATGGAGAGGCCTAAAAGTTGCTGATTAAGAGACACTACTTTTCATTCAGTTGTGCTGGGGAAACAGAGGCAACCCTCACAGAACTTTCCATCTAGCAGAGGATACAGATGCTATCAACAATCACACACAAATCACATAGCTATGGCCCATGACAAGAGCTGCAAGGGGTGGGCACACGGCAAGACGGGTGTAAATGGCACCCTAAACTGGGGAGGGGAGCACAGTGACTTCCTTCCCTACTGTGTGCCAGCGGCTGGGTGTCGATGGGGCCTGGAATGGATCATGGAGAGGACCCACAACAGCTGAAGGAGGAGAAGGACTGGACATTTCAGGAAGGGGGTTTCAAAATCCAGTTTCAGGATTTTAAAGATTGGCCTG